TGAATCTTTTTGTTCAAGCTATATGTGAAAGTCCTCATAGCAATTATATTCAGATTTATTGACTGGTTTTCACTGGCCAGTTATAAACAGATGTTGGCGTCTATCCATCAAATATAGAGTCTTATCGGAATAGTCTCATTGTATATGACAAGGTGGAAATGCTCAAATATATGGACACGACGGTTGCGCATCGGTATCGGTAGGGTAATGCACGAGAGCACCCATTGCGTTTGCTGAAAGATGGGCATACAAACAATGCAGATGCAGTTGAGAAATCCACAACAAAATGTTTTCCTTCAATCAGAATAAAGCGCAAAATTTTTGATGAAATATATTGTCTCGTCGGACTAAAATTATATGAAAGTAATAACATTCTAAAATTACTTCTTTTATTTTTAAATACTGAACTGAATACTAAGTATTTAAAGTCGATTGGTCCATCAGTTACAGAGAAAGACGTATTTCCCCAACAACAACAAGTACCCTAACAGCAACAACAGAAATAACAACCACAAGAATTTGAAAAACATTCATAAGTTCACTTTTTATCTAATAACCGTTTAGAAATTTTTTTTCATCTTTCGTACTGAAAATAAATTTGAAATTGGCTGGTCTACTGGTTGCGCGGAAAAGCAATTTTGCATAAAGTCAACAACAACAAAAAACAACAAGTTGGTAAAGCTTTCCATGGATCCATTTCGTGTCCAAGAATGTGAACACGGCTATTGGGAAAAAATAAGTCGCCGGTGGCGCAAGAGATTGAAATATTGTTATTTTCTCCTCGACAAATGGGATATGTAGCTTTCAACATTGCAGTGCTTGTTGCTGGAAGAAATCAATAAAAGGCTATTAGTCTTATTTTGTTATTTCAAATTTCCACTTAGTCTTATTGTGCCTAATTTTTCATATTAATATATTTTTCTTGTTTACCAACACATTATAATATGACATTTACTCATTTAGTACAATTCTTTACGCCAGTCGATACGGTACCATTTTGCTAACAATACGGTGACTGCTAGCTATTTAGCATCCGTGTTTACATATTCAAGCGTTGATATCTTGTCCTATCTAATATTAAACTTCTTGAATGCTTTTATCTGCTTTTTAATCAGAAGATCAACTAAGTATTCGATAAGACAAAACCATGGAAACAGTATACAGTTCATTTTAAAATTAGGCGACGCACATTTTGAATATAACCATGCCCACCAAAAGCGGTGAAATTCCAAACAAAATGTACTTTTATATCGCATACGAAATTTAATCTAAGTCCTTTATGCAATGTTATTTACGCCGCTATTATGCAATTTCATATAGTTTTGCGTCGATCGCATTAATATTTATCACCACAACCTAGCATAAGCAATCCAATAAGGTTTATACAAAAGCAAAGTTCCCACTGTGGAAATATGTATATTAATGTATTATTCTCATGGTTATCATAAGCAACACATGCCCGACAAAACATAACTCAGTGTATAGAGCTTTACTGCTGGTGAGCCGCGATATTTTGCCTCTCCAGACCAGCATGCGTGGATGTTGACTGATGGCATTTTCTCGCAGTGAACCGAACAACATTTTTATATCCAGAGGCGAGTACAAACATCATTGTAACAACTTAACGCCTACCCACGACAAGGCACTCCGTCGCAACGCTAAGATGACAATAAGCCTTATTTTTTTAAATATTACATATTTTGACTCCGAACCATATCATATATGTAATATATTACGCTGTGGGTGAAAATTGTATATAGCAGTTACAATCATATTTCTACATTTGTTCTGTACAAATTTCTCAGGTTTTATAAAAGCTATTACAACAAACCACTTAAAATTTGATGAATACATATCAAAACTTACGTTTTTGACATCAATTTTTATGATATTTAAATTTTTAATAAAAAAGGGAACATTTGAGACGTCAAAATGTGACCTATATAAATTTTATTAAAAACAAAAGATATCATGTCAATAGTTAAAAAAATAATTACAGTAGTTCTTATAACCAACTCACGGCTTCAAGTTATCTATTTTGAGTCTAACATTTGAGTGATTATATTACGTAGTTTTGGGCTTTTGAGATGTAAACAACTGGAGACTGAGAGGTATATGTTGATCTCTAGAAAGAAAATTCCATCAGAATATTACATGTTCATATTTCGAATATTTCTCCTATCAGTCATAAACAAACATCTGGTTTTAATTCGTTTTAGAACAAATGCCATCTTGTTACTAATAGAAAATAACTGAAAAAATCGTAAATTGCTCTCTTGCACAGTAGTATGTGGGAGCACTAACTACTTACTGTTCAATTATTGTCCATTTATTAGATAGGGTAAATATACTCAAAAATTTCAAACCTGGATACTAATTTCTTTTTCCCATTTAATTGTATCAGCTTTTGTTATTATGATAATCAAAATACGATATATATATATATATATATATATATATATTAAATGAGTAAATGTGCTCATGTATTTGTATCTACATTGTATATGTATTTATGAATACTAATATTGATGACAAATAATAGCTTTAACTCTCATTAAACGTTTGTTTTGAAGAAAGTTTTCGTCTGAAAATACTATACGACTATTGCTTACCTAAATTTATTTCTATAATAATATTTGAAATATTTCTATGCAAAGATTACTACTCAATTGAATCGAACTTACGTGTAATAAGATCGTGATATTTCAATGTCAATCTTGATAAAATCTCAGGCAGCATTTGTGTCGCGGTAAATGTCATATCGTGTCTGGCAGCATTTCGTGGCAAATTCAATTCATTATTACTTATCGATTTTAATCGGTAAGTATGTTGATAGGTATTTTGCATGTGCATTCATCATATTATGTCGGACCAGAAGCCCATTGATTTTGGATGAATTATGTCGTATAATTAGCGAGTTATCAATTAATTAGTGATGGGACACAAGGTGCCACTATGGAGCAAGAGCGCTGTTTTGGGGATCCCCTAACTTTCGATCGATAAATCTTCGGTCTCTGACCGATACTCTCGTTTTCTATACTTTGTTAAGAATCTGATCCCAGAGAAATATAAAGACGTATTTGCCGCTGATTGATTTATTGATAGTCTCTTTGAAAATGGACCTAATTGGATAATCACCTCTGAGTTTAGAATGGAGGATAATGCTGAGGAATAGAATATCTGATCATTTATGTGAGACGTGATTGAGCTAACTGCACTCGTTGATGCCTCCCGGGAGATTTTTTAAATTTAAATCATAATACTATAATATGTGACATTTACTTCAATTTGGAAATTTAAAGCAAGAAAAGCAATTTACGTTACCGATATCGTTGTCTTCAACCAGTATCAACCTCCAAATATTTCATACATTGGCATCAGAATTTCAAATTTTAATGAACGCAAATGGACTTATGGTTCGTTTTTCTAAATCAATGTTGTGGATGTTGTTTCTCGTGCAAGACGTCCTCAAATAGTTTACAAACTGATGATACGACTAAATAAATTTCTGAGAAACAGTGATTTATTTTTAGGTGTACGATGCATTATAGGGTTTCCGGGCAAGGCTTACTGGGTGCCAGCTGAATTGGTCCCAACCATAATTGATAAAGGTCCTTTGCGGTCACATAAATCTGTTTTAAGGGACAAATTCTACCATTTTAATTTTTGTCCGTATGTTTGTACTTGCTTTTTATTTTACAACTTAATTTTTTAAATTTGTTTTCTGCATTCTTATAAACTTGTTTTACCTTTCAATTGAAATTGGAAAATTTGTTGAAACGCTCAAATTTTTTTACAGAACACTTGAATTTCCATATTCTGCTGTCAGCTGGCGCTCATGCAATCGCACACAAAACACGGCCCAGTGGCGCCCGAGTCTCCTTCTAATTTTAGCAAAAGATGAGTTTACTTCAAAAAATATTTCGTACTGAAATGCAATTTTCACATATTAATTTGCTGAAATTTGTGTCAAAAATACAAATATCGTCACGCTAATAATCGAATTGCGTAAGTCATTTTTGGCGGTTTTGAGTTTTTTTTATAAAATAGGTATTTATGTAATGCTGCGCACCGGTCTGTTAACTCAGATTTTATTTTAAGAATTCCGAGACCCATAAAAATAGAAAAATTGTACGATATGCAAATTTGTTCAATTGTTTCGTCATAATGAATTATCATTGGTAACGCAGGATTATTGTGACGTCACAAAGACAAAATAACCTCGGCGCAGGATTTTTGAGTTTTTGCATCTCAGATTCTAGCTTAGCGCTTATAAATTTCAATTTATACTACAGTATAGGAGGGCGCGCACTTGTGATATTCACTGTCTGAGTCCAATTCACCTTGGTTGGCTTTTATATAAGGGTACATTGCTGTTTTATTCTTTATATTTAACTTTAGTCTTATTTCGGTGGATGTGCAGAGCGTGTTATATTGATGAAATATATATTTTTAAACATAAAAAATAATGTAATTTAACCAGATTAGCTATTTTGGGGATTAGACATCGTATATACTAAGAATTACATTCGTTTTTGGATCGTTTGGTTTTCAGGACCGGTACATATAGTCAAGTTGCAAAATTACGTATGTCCCCAAGCCATAGACACATTTCTCCCTAAGTCACAGTGCGCCATTATGACGTCACATGACTGCGTCATACAAATTAACTTAAATCCGGCTAAGATCAAAAAAATAAACTATGGCAAATTATTGACTCTCAATGGCATAGCAATATCATTAGGAAGTTTTTTACGTTTTTCTCAAAACTGCTAAATATGACTTACGCAATTCGGTTATTAGCGTGACGATATATATAGTCATTTTACCATTTCGAATTAATTTTTGATGAATACTAAATAGAAAGTTTCTGAATCTTATCGAGCGGAGAACGGAATCGAACTCGAAAACAAAACATAAAGTTTTATTTCCAAAAATCATACCAATTTCCTACTTGTGTACTATTCAAATTCGATAAACAAAAAATACAAGACAACAAATAATGCATCGATAAACGTTTATTGATCACATATAAAAAAGAAAAGTAGCAATTTGTATATTTTGCAAATATTCGAGTCCTTTCCGAGTCAGAGAAATCGTTCATGTGGGATTACTGTTGATCATTAGATACTTCTTGCAATTCGTCTTGAAAGGGATCATCATACTCGTCCTTCGCTTCATCAGACCCATTATCTTCAATTCTTGCTTCGGCTTTGAAAATATATAGAACAATGGAATGTGAGAATCAGTCAAAGCGAGCTTTTGATTGAATTTACGTTTAGCGGATAAAATATCAATTCGTTGCGCTATGAAGTAGTTTTGTGGTATTTTGAGCTCTGCTCACTGGTGTATAGCTTGATATAAACCATGTTCACGAGAAACATTAAATGTTGGAATGCAATTTTAATAAACAGTTTTCAAAATTTGCTCTTATACTAATTACTCATTTTAGTTCAAATTCGTAATCAGAGGTAGATGATTTGTGTCATCAGTTGAGTTTACAATTAGCTATAGACTAATCTATCATTATATATATTTCTGTATTTACTGCAGAGCTGTCAAATGTATATACATTACAAATTGACGTATGCTGCATTTGACGTACCTTGATTCTCTAGTTGATCTGTGGTAATCTTTGCACCGTCAACTCCTTCTTCATCTCTAAATGTTGAGTAAAGATAGTATTTCTACTTGATGTATGATTTCTAAGTCAAGTTCATCTTTGCCTCTCAAAAACAAGACATGAAGACATAGCCAGCTATCTACACCAGCCCATATTGTGTTTCGTCCGCACAAAGTATGGTGACAATATTTTACAAAGGATGAAAATAGGGAAAAATTCTAAAAAAATGTCCTTAGTGTAATTTATATCATGGTGCAATTTTTGATGATTTTGTTAACATACGGTAAACTTAATTATACTCTTGCTTACCCGCAAATGTAGTGGTGGTGGTGGTGGTGATGATGGTGGTGATGAATGTAAGAGCTGTAGGAACGACGTCTACTATAGTAACGACGTCTTCTAGAAGCATCACCGAAGCTGATGAGAACAAGTAGTAGAATGAGAATTGTTGAATTCATCTATTAATGAAATGAAAGTGAAACATAAAATAAGTGAATGGTTCAGGATTAAGTCTGAAATACAAGGTTATGTACGCAAACTTGCTGGTGAAATCATAACAGACGATATCAGTCCTAGAATACTTTAGCTATTACTTTACTAATTTAAAAATCAAGAAAACTATGTCCATACCACAGACCATTTTAAACGAAGAACCAGGTTAGGAGTAGGAGTTTCAAAATAATTTAATATGTTCTGAGGAATAGAAAAGGATGGTTTAGGTAACCGTTGTCTGAAAATCGGGAGGACCACACCTGAAATTTATTTAATAAACGCAATTATTCTTCAAGATGTACTACTACTACTCAGAGTATAAAATTTTAAATTCACTCACCTCGTTGGGTATTCGAGGCAGACTTGACAGAAGTTTCGTATCAGAATTACTGCACAAGATTAAAAAAACAGTCCATCGAATGTTGTTCCTTTTATAGAAACCATTCACTTCCTGAGTGTCAGCTTCGCTTCAGGTTTCAGGAATCTTAGTCATATTCTGATGACTGCATAATCGAACCGTTCAATAGATATTTTAAACTATTTTGCATGTATACTTTTTCCTTCTCGTATTTTATGGAATTCAGTAGGTTTTTTCCATCTTTTTTGCGTATACCAAATATACCATTAAAGCCAAGAACTCGCGTTGATTTCCCTTCTATAACGCAATATCCCATTTCAAAGTGAGTATGAGATAATATGAACTAAAGAGTTAAACACAATTTTGAAAAAATAACGACAAAGGTTTTAATTAGCAGAAAGAAAGAAGTAGAGGGTATGCACACCAGTAAACTACAAAAAGTGTGTATTTTACCGAAACGGCAAAATTTAAGATATTTATTCGTTTTTTCAAAACTGTGATGAAAATATACAAATCGAAGAACAATTACGATAAAATAAATTGGACAACTGTGCCATACGTCATATGCATTAACTTATAACGGTATCCACGGTTACATGCATGTAGTATTCTATCATCGTATTTGGCGAATTGAAGTATTAAATGAACCTACTTTTACCAGGAATTTTTTTCTTATGTTCATTTAATTATCACTTACGCAGATCCGAAACTATCCATTCCTTCATTTTATACTAATTACATGTTAAAACGATATCGGGATCAACGCAGGGATATCACTAAACACAACATCAACTGTGAACTTTTTATTTCTTGTCAAAAGATTGTTTTCATCAAGTGTGGTGTAAACTCAAGTTGACGTTTAAAGACTCCGAATGAAAGACATCTCGTTTTGTAGTTAGTATAAATGCGTTTCCTCATTAAATGACAATGCTCGGTGTGAAAAGATCATTTTTAAACGTTCTGCCTATTTTACAACAGTTACCTAGCTTTTACAAAGACGTGATCTTTTACTCAAAGTCCATATCTTTTAAGGTGCATTAGTTTTTCAAATTATAAATCATATTCCAAATCAGACGTTAGATACCTAGGTTTTCTTATTAGGATATGGCGCAAGAATAGAGTTGTGAATCATAATTCACATTGTTCGAATTTACAATCTATTATTCTTGAAAATGCAATAAAAATTAAATTATAATGATCAATATTCAGATATGTTATCAGAATAATGAAAAACGTGACAAAAATGAGAAAAATGAAATTAAAGGTTCAGTAGTCAATATATTAGGATTGTGCTAAAATACAGTTTGTTTCTATGTAACCAATTTGTATGTAGTTGTAAAACAACGGATTATGTAGGACATTTGGACGATGTGTTGTATACTCGAGCATTGCGCGCTGATTTGGCGTATTCTAGTGTCTAACGCTCAACCACATTGGTTAATTTTACATTATAATCCTTGATGTCAGCCAATAGGGTGCTGCTACCAGCTTCATTCGTTTTCCATGAAAACTATTTTCTATCCCATTACGCATTGGTATTGACAATGGGAATGGATCATATTATTTGAATACAAGTATACATTTGGGAAGTAAGTCGACTCATGGAAAGTAGTTTCATTTCTATTTCAATGTTGCGCTGACTTGGGCAATGTTTGACATTACAGTGCTTTCCCCCGACTTCATTGAATATGCAAATTGAGATAATTAAAGTTAAACCGTTGCATTTCGTTAGAATTTAGAATGCAAAGCCAATGTAATATTTTAAATACTTTATTTATAATCGTACAGAAAAAGGCTCGAACAAACATAAATTCAAAAATCAAATATTTGAAAAAAGGAGAAAAAAGTTATTTTTGAGGGATAAGCTTTTCTCCATACGATAAGCTTTATCCAAAACAATCATTTTCTTCTATAAATATTTGTTAAATGTGAGCAAACTATTCCAGTCTACAAGAAAGCAAATCCCAAATTTGTTAACCCGAAGTTCGCCCCTCAATACCAGACAGTACGACAAGACCTGAGAGCACTGAGCTTGCTGAAAATATAGATGGACATACTATGCGAAGGTGATAAAGCAATGCGAAATAACAAGAATTTCTCTACTTACAGTAAAACAAAAACAATTATTATTGAGTCCCACAAGAATAAGCGGGGATTTAAAAAAGAAGTATACAAGATTAATCGACATCTAAAAATTTCTTCCAACTCTAGGTAGTCAGAATTTGAAATCGATGAGTCCATGAGCTGTGAACCTTTTTACGAGAATAACAACAACAAGAATTTGGCAAAATAATCCATAGGTCAACTTTGTTTCCAATAAGAATGAACATTACGAGTTATTTCTGTAAGTTCTTACATAATTATGTCAATGAAAATGTTTCTCAAATAAAATTCTTTTATGCGTTTCCACAATTTCGGTGGGAAACAACATCTCAAAAATGTCTCCTGTGTTCCTCTGTTTTTTCAAATACCATACCGTCAATATTTGGGTTTAGCGCCATGTGATCCGGAAAAGATCTTCACTCAATTTTTTGAAATGATATGTGGTCGTGTACAAACGCATGTGATACTTGGTAGTTCCGATATAATATGGATTTTTAATGTTGACAATGAGAGCATGTTTGATAAGAAACGAAGAGGCATATGGTAAGTCTAAGTCCCTGTGTAATTGAGGTAGATCATCCGAAAACAGAAAAAAATTACAGTTTGAGATACGGAAAATTTGAGCAATAACCCGACCCAAACTTCTCGCCATTTTATAAAGTACCTAAACATTTGAGACGTCAAAATGTGACCTATATAAATTTCATTAAAAACAAAAGATATCATGTCAATAGTTAAAAAAATAATTACAGTAGTTCTTATAACCAACTCACGGCTTCAAGTGATTTATTTTGAGTCTAACATTTGAGTGATGATATTACGTAGTTTTGGGTTTTTGAGATGTAATCAACTGGAGACTGAGAGGTATATGTTGATCTCTAGAGGGAAAATTCCATCAGAATATTACATGTTCATATTTCGAATATTTCTTCTATCAGTCATGTATTTATGAATACTAATATTGATGACAAATAATAGCTTTAACTCTCATTGAACGTTTGTTTTGAAGACAGTTTTCGTCTGAAAATACCATTCGACTATTGCTTACCTGTAAATTTATTTCTATTATAATATTTGAAATATTTCTATGCAAAGATTACTACTCAATTGAATCAAACTTACGCGAAATAAGATCGTTATATTTCAATGTCAATCTTGATAAAATCTCAGGCAGCATTCGTGTCGCGGTAAATGTCATCTCGTGTCTGACAGCTTTTCGTGGCAAATTCAATTCATTATTACTTATCGATTTTAATCGGTAAGTATGTTGATTTGTATTTGTCTGTTTGTCTGTCTGTTGCACGCGATATCTCACGGAAGCAAGATTGAATCTGCTCCAGATTTTGCATGTGCATTCATCATATTATGTCGGACCAGAAGCCTATTGATTTTGGATGAATTATGTCGTATAATTAGCGAGTTATCAATCAATTAGTGATGGAACACAAGGTGTCACTATGGAGCAAGAGCGCTGTTTTGGGGATCCCCTAACTTTCGATCGATAAATCTTCGGTCTCTGACCGATATTCTCGTTTTCTATACTTTGTTAAGAATCTGATCCCAGAGAAATATAAAGACGTATTTGCCGCTGATTGATTTATTGATAGTCTCTTTGAAAATGGACTTAATTGGATAATCACTTCTGAGTTTAGAATGGAGGATAATGCTGAGGAATAGAATATCCGATCATTTATGTGAGACGTGATCGAGCTAACTGCACTCGTTGATGTCTCCCGGGATATTTTTTAAATTTGAATCATAGTACTATAATATGTGGCATTTACTTCAATTTGGAAATTTGAAGCAAGAAAAGCAATATACGTTACCGATATCGTTGTCTTCGACCAGTATCAACCTCCAAATATTTCATACATTGGTATCAGAATTTCAAATTTTAGTTTTATTAGCAAGTTGCGGCCCGCGGGCCACACCCGGCCCGCGGCAACGTTTTATCCGGCCCGTGAGCAAGTTTCTAGATTTAGACACTTTTTTTATTATATATATACATATAAAATATACTTTGATTACGAACAAAAGAATTTTTAGGACAATGAAAAAGTCGATAATAACATTCGCCTGAATTTCCTTTAAATCGCCGATTGTTTTCGTCATCTCGAGGTGTTATTTAGATTTTAGAACGTAAACACCTTTACGTCGGCGATTAGTCTCCTCAAGTCACAAATTTTTTTCCTCAACATATATATGTCTTGTATACAGAACAGTGAAATCATTGAAAAAATCGAGTTATTATATAATCATCGGCGACGAGATGCTAAAGATAAATAAAGGAGTTAATCTGCAAGCAACCTAAATCTAGATTTAGAGCGGCAATATAAAATACTAAAAATTGAACAGAAACAAGTTATGATTCAAACGGCTTGCGACAGATTAAAAACGCTTTTGTGAAAATGGAAACTAGAAAATTTCTGGTACCCACGGCAAACATTTTAATTGCGTAGCCTTCGTGGGCGCGATGTACCTTTTGATCAATTCTAAAACTACCGACGGGACCTAATTTGTAAGATAATTATTGTCAGGTAAACTCAATCGATTTTTATGTAACTAAAATGAATTTTACTGGGTGTACTTTTATCGCAGGCGTGGGGATTTTTCTGATGGTAAAATCTTTAAAACAGAGCTAACTCAGTGTTGCAGGAACAGATAAGATTTGTCGAATTCACAAAATCGCAAAACACGAATAAAAATAATCTGGCACGTTACCTCAAATTTTGATGTCCGCGGAATGCGGTGGTATTTCAGAATTCTAATGCCCATATTTTATCAAAGCAGCCGCGGGTTAGGTCGAAAACAACAAGACATTTCAATGTGGCCGTATCAATGCATTTTAAATATATCCGTATCGCAAAAATAGATATAGTATATAGAGTATATCTCACATTTTTAAATCCGAAGATAGCCGTGGTATTTTAGAGCAGACTTTTAAGCTCGCAACGCCCTCCAATGCATTAAAATTTCCGCGAACCTTGTTCCCCTTAAAAATGCTATGATGACAGCAAAATTATATGAATCACGATGTTTGGCCACCAAAGGCATGGTCCTAATTCCGCATTGTTACTCACTTTCTACAATTAATGAAAAAATTCGGCATTGTTATGCAAGCGTTTCGTTTCTCTGATCCAATGTATTGTCTCGAAATCGCCAGATTTGCGTTTTAAATTACTTTTATTAAATGCGCTTTGCATAAAAATTCTACCAAAGTGCAATAGATATAGTGCTTATTTATATAATTACTTATATATAGTACGTATTTAAATATGTAATAAAATACAATAAAAACGCGCAATTGACTTCTACTTAGTCCGGCCCGCCACTGCATTTTGAATATTCAATGTGGCCCGATACCAAAAATAATTGCCCAGCCCTGGCTTACTGGGTGCCAGCTGAATTGGTCCCAAGCATATTTAATAAAATTCCTTTGCGGTCACATAAATCTGTTTTAAGGGACAAATTCTACCATTTTATTTTTTGTTCGTATGTTTGTACTTGCTTTTTATTTTACAACCTAATTTTTTAAATTTGTTTTCTTCACTCTTATAAACTTGTTTTACCTTTCAATTGAAATTGGAAAATACGTTGAAACGCTCAAATTTTTTTTGCAAAACATTTGAATTTCCATATCATACTGTCAGCTGGCGCTCATGCAATCGCGTACAAAACACGGCCCAGTGGCGCCCGAGTCTCATTCTAATTTTGGCGAAAGATGAGTTTACTTCAGAAAATATTCCGTACTGAAATAAAATTTTCACATATTAATTTGCTGAAATTTGTGTTGTGTCAAAAATACAAATATATATAGTAATTTTACCATTTCGAATTAATTTTTGATGAATACTGAATAGAAAGTTTCTGAATCTAATCGAGCGGAGAACGGAATCGAACTCGAAAACAAAACATAAAGTTTTATTTCCCAAAATCATACCAATTTCCTACTTGTGTATTGCTGAATTCAAATTTGAAAAACAAAAAATACAAGACAACAAATAATGCATCGATAAACGTTTATTGATCACATATAAAAAAGAAAAGTAGCAACTTGCATATTTTGCAAAAATTCGAGTCCTTTCCGAGTGAGAGAAATTGTTCATATGGGATTACTGTTGATCATTAGATACTTCTTGCAATTCGTCTTGGAAGGGATCATCATACTCGTCCTTCGCTTCATCAGACCCATTATCTTCGATTCTTGCTTCAGCTTTGAAAATATATAGAACAATGGAATGTGAGAATCCGTCAAAGCAAGATTTTGATTGAATTTACGTTTAGCGGATAAAATATCAATTCGTTGCGCTATGAAGTAGTTTTGTGGTATTTACGAGCTCTGCTCACTAGTGTATAGCTTGATATAAACCATGTTCACGAGAAACATTAAATGTTGGAATGCAATTTTAATAAACAGTTTTTAAAATTTGCTCTTATACTAATTACTCATTTTAGTTCAAATTCGTAATCAGCGGTAGATGAATTGTGTCATCAGTTGAGTTTACAATTAGCTATAGACTAATCTATCATTATATATATATATATATATATCTGTATTTACTGCAGAGCTGTCAAGTGTATATATTACAAATTAAATATATGCTGCATTTGACGTACCTTGATTCTCTAGTTGATCTGTGATAATCTTTGCACCGTCAACTCCTTCTTCATCTCTAAATGTTGAGTAAAGATAGTATTTCTACTTAATGTATGATTTCTAAGTCAAGTTCATCTTTGCCTCTCAAAAACAAGACATGAAGACATAGCCAGCTATCTACACCAGCACATATTGTGTTTCGTCCGCACAAAGTATGGTGACAATATATTACAAAGGATGAAAATAGGGAAAAATTCTGAAAAAATGTCCTTAGTGTAATTTATATCATGGTGTAATTTTTGATGATTTTGTTAACATACGGTAAACTTAATTATACTCTTGCTTACCCGCAGGAGTAGTGATGATGGTGGTGGTGATGATGGTGGTGATGAATGTAAGAGCTGTAGGAACGACGTCTACTATAGTAACGACGTCTTCTAGAAGCATCACCAAAGCTGATGAGAACAAGTAGTAGAATGAGGATTGTTGAATTCATCTATTAATGAAATGAAAGTGAAGCATAAAATAAGTGAATGGTTCAGGATTAAGTCTGAAATACAAGGTTGTGTACGCAAACTTGCTGGTGAAATCATAACAGACGATACCAGTCCTAGAATACTTTAGCAATTACTTTACTAATTTCAAAATCAAGAAAACTAGGTCCATACCACACACCATTTTAAACGAAGAACCAGGTTAAGAGTAGGAGTTTCAAAATAATTTGATATGTTCTAAGGAATAGGAAAGGTTGGTCCAGGTAACCGTTGTCTGAAAATCGGGAGGACCTCGCCTGAAATTTATTTAATAAACGCAATTATTCTTCAAGATGTACTACTACTGCTCAGAGTATAAAATTTTAAATTTACTCACCTCGTTGGGTATTCGAGGCAAACTTGACAGAAGTTTCGTATCAGAATTACTGCACAAGATTAATAAAACAGTCCATCGAATGTTGTTCCTTTTATAGAAACCATTCACTTCCTGAGTGTCAGCTTCGCTTCAGGTTTCAGGAATCTTAGTCATATTCTGATGACTGCATAATCGAACCGTTCAATAGATATCTTATACTAGTTTGCATGTATACTTTTTCCTTCTCGTATTTTATGGAATTCAGTAGGGTTTTTCCATCTTTTTTGCGTATACCAAATATACCATTAAAGCCAAGAACTCGTGTTGATTTCCCTTCTATAACGCAATATTCCATTTCAAAGTGAGCATGAGATAATATGAACTAAAGAGTTAAACACAATTTTGAAAAAATAACGACAAAGGTTTTAATTAGCAGAAAGAAAGAAGTAGAGGGTATGCACACCAGTAAACTACAAAAAGTGTGTATTTCACCGAAACGGCGAAATTTAAGATATTTATTCGTTTTTTCAAAACTGTGATGAAAATATACAAATCGAAGAACAATTACGACAAAATAAATTAGACAACTGTGACATACGTCATATGCATTAACTTATAACGGTATCCACGGTTACATGCATGTAGTATTCTATCATCGTATTTGGCGAATTGAAGTATTAAATGAACCTACTTTTACCAGGAATTTTTTTCTTATGTTCATTTAATTATCACTTACGCAGATCCGAAACTATCCATTCCTTCATTTTATACTGATTACATGTTAAAACGATATCGGGATCAATGCAGGGCTATCACTAAACACAACATCAAGTGTGAACTTTTTATTTCTTGTCAAAAGATTGTTTTCATCAAGTGTGGTGTAAACTCAAGTTGACGTTTACAGACTCCGAATGAAAGACATCTACGTTTTGTAGTTAATATAAGTGTGTTTCCTCATTAAATGACAATGCTCGGTGTGAAAAGATTTTGAAACGTTCTGCCTGTTTTGCAACAGTTACCTAGCTTTTACAAACACATGACTTTAAGAATCATATTCTAAATCAGACGTTAGATTGCTAGGTTTTCTTATTAGGATATGGCGCAAGAATAGAGTTGTGAATCATAATTCACATTGTTCGAATTTACAGTCTATTCTTCTTGAAAATGCAATAAAAATTGAATTATATTGATCAATATTCAGATATGTTATCAGAATAATGAAAAACTTGACAAAAATGAGAAAAAAGAAATTAAAGGTTCAGTAGTCAATATATTAGGATTGTGCTAAAATACAGTTTGTTTCTATGTAACCAATTTGTATGTAGTTGTGAAACAACGGATTATGTAGGACATTTGGACGATGTGTTGTATACTCGAGCATTGCGGGCTGATTTGGCTTATTCTAGTGTCTAACGCTCAACCACATTGGTTAATTTTACATTATAATCCATTAGCTTATACATTAGGGAAATTTGTGAACCAGGTCATTGATGTCAGCCAATAGGGTACTGCTACCAGCTTCATTCGTTTTCCATGAAAACTATTTTCTATCTCATTACGCATTTGTATTGACAATGGGAATAGATCATAATATTTGAATACAAGTATACATTTTGGAAGGAAGTCGACTCATGAAGATTAGTTTCATTTCTTATTTTAATTTTGCGCTGACTTAGCCAATGTTTGACATTACAGCGCTTTCCCCCGACTTCATTGAATATGAATGCATTGAATTGAGATATAATAAAGTTAAACCGTTGCATTTCGTTAGAATTTAGAATGCAAAGCCAATGTAATATTTTAAATACTTTATCCCATTGCGCATTGGTATTGACAATGGGAATAGATCATAATATTTGAATACAAGTATACATTTGGGAAGTAAGTCGACTCATGGAAAGTACTTTCATTTCTATTTCAATGTTGCGCTGACTTGGGCAATGTTTGACATTACAGTGCTTTCCCCCGACTTCATTGAATATGCAAATTGAGATATAATAAAGTTAAACCGTTGCATTTCGTTAGAATTTAGTATGCAAAGCCAATGTAATATTTTAAATACTTCATTTATAATCGTACAGAAAAAGGCTCGAGAGAACATAAATTCAAAAATCAAATATAAAAGAGAATAAAAGTGAAAAAAGTTATTTTTGAGGGATAGGCTTTTCTCCATACGATAAGCTTTATCCAAAACAATCATTTTCTTCTATAAATATTTGTTAATTGTGAGCAAACAATTCCAGTCTACAAGAAAGCAAATCCCAAATTTGTTAACACGAAGTTCGCCCCTCAATACCAGACAGTACGACAAGACCTGAGAGCACTGAGCTTGCTGAAAATATAGGTGGACATACTATGCGAAGGTGATGAAGCAATGCGAAATAATAAAAAAATTCTCTACTTACAATAAAACAAAAGCAATTATTATTGAGTCCCACAAGAATAAGCGGGAATTTAAAAAAGAAGTATACAAAAATAATCGACATCTAAAAATTTCTTTCAACTCTAGGTAGTCAGAATTTGAAATCGATGAGTCCGTTAGCTGTGAACCTTTTTACGAGAATAACAACGGCAAGAATTTAGCAAAACAATCCATAGGTCAACTTTGTTTCCAATAAGAATGAACATTACGAGTTATTTCTGTAAGTTGTTACATAATTATGTCAATGAAAATGTTTCTCACATAAAATTCTTTTGCGCGTTTTCATAATTTCGGTGGGAAACAACAATATCTCAAAAATGTCTCCTGTGTTCCTCTGTTTTTTCAAATACTATACCGTCAATATTTGGGTTTAGCGCCATGTGACCCGAAAAAGATCTTTACTTAATTTTTTGAAATGATATGTGGTCGTGTACAAACGGATGTGATTCTTGGTAACTCTGATATAATATGGATTTTTAATGTTGACAATGAGAGCATGTTTGATAAGAAACGAAGAGGCATATGGTAAGTCTAAGTCCCTGTGTAATTGAGGTAGATCATCCGAAAACAGAAAAAAATACAGTTTGAGATACGGAAAATTTGAGCAATAACCCGACCCAACCTCCTCGTCATTTATAAAGTACCTTTATATGTCATATCGCTTTCAAATCTAGAGCATTCACTGAACCTAGCAAATAAGTGACAAAGAACGCAAATCGCTCTGAAAATTGGTCATATTTGAAGCATTGAATTGTAATGTTGACGAATTTCCCGTTCAAGATGACGATGCTGAGGGTATCCTCTTTCCAATGCATTCTAATATGCAGATAGGTTATTTTTTATTACTTGAAGGCAATAAGTATTGCTGTCTACCACTACGATATATTGTTTTACTCGTACAAGTTTTTTGTATTGCATTAATTTATGGAGCTTCGACAATGAAGTGTAACGGTTACTTCGTTTTACTCATTGTGATCAGCATCGGTATCAGCATTTTATGCCATTGAATCTTTTCATGCACGCTGTAGGTGAAAGCCCTTGTAAAAATTATATTCAAATTTATTGACTGGTTTTCGTTGGCCAGTTATAAACAGATGTTGGCGTATATCCACAAAATAGTCATATTGGAAGTTTCACTTCATAAGACAAGTGAGAAATGCTCAAATTTATGGACATGACAGTTGCGCATAGGTATCGGTAGGGTAATGCATGGAAGCATTCACTGCGTTTGCTGAAATGTCGGCGTACAATCAATGCAAATGCGGATGAGCAATACAGAACAAAAAATTTTCCTCTTCTTCAATCTTTAAATGCTGAGCATTTGAAGTCGACGGGACCATTAGTTACAGAGAAAAACCTATACTCCCATCAACAACAAGCACCCTAATAGCAACAACAGCAATAACGGCGACAATAATTTAGAAAAATCATCCATAAGTCCACTTTGTGCCTAAGAAAATTTTAGAAATTATCTTTGTCTTTGGTACTGAAAATAAATTTGAAATTGGCAATTTTGCCTAAAGTCAACAACAACAAGAAAAAAAACAAATTGGCAAAGCTTTCCATGGATCGATTTCGTATCCAATAATGTGTACACGCCTATTGAAAAAATAATAATTACTACAAATGGGATAAATTGATTTCAACATTCCAGTGCTTGTTGATGGAAGAAATCAATAGAAGGCTATTAGTCTTATTTTGTTATTTCACATTTCCACTTAGTCTTATTGTGCCTAATTTTCCATATCAATGTATTTTTCTTATTTACCAACATATCGTCATATGACATTTAGTACAATTCTTTACGCCACTCGATACGGTAACATTTTGCTAACAATACGGTGACGGCTAGTTATTTAGCATCCGTGTTCATATATTTAAGCGTTGATATCTTGTCTTATCTAATATTAAACTTCATGAAGGCTTTTATCTGCTTTTTAATCAGAAGATCAACTAAGTATTCGATAAAACAAAACCATGGAAACATTATACAGTTCATGTTAAAATTAGGCGACGCAGATAACCATGCCCACCAAAAGCGGTGAAATTCCAACCAAATTGTACTTTTATATCGCATACGAAATAAAAACCTAAGTTCTTAATGCAATGTTATTTACGCCGCTATTATGCAGTTTCCTATAGTAGCATAAGCAATCCAATAACTCGAGGTTTATACAAAACAAAGTTCCAGTTTGGGCACTGTGGAAATATGTATATTAATGCATTATTTTCATGGTTATCAGGGTTAGTGTATAGATCTTCGGTGTATAGAGCTTTACTGCTGGTGAGCCACGATATATTGCCGCACCAGACCAGCATGCGTGGATGTTGACTGATGACATTTTCTCGCAGTAAACCGAACAACTTATTTATAGCCAGAGGCGAGTACAAACATCATTGTAACAACTTAACGCCTACCCGCGACAAGGCACTCCGTTGCGGCGCTAAGTTGACAATAAGCCTTATATTTTAAATATTACATATTTTGACTCCGAACCATATCATATATGTAATATATTACGCTGTGGGTGAAAATTGTATATAGCAGTTACAATCATATTTCTACATTTGTTCTGTACAAATTTCTCAGGTTTTATAAAAGCTATAACAACAAACCACTTAAACTTTGATGAATACATACCAAAACTT